ACATATTCTATTCATACGAATCTATCCTAAAAAGGTTGTCGGCATTAAATAACCCATTGAGGTTGATATGCCGTAAAACAAAATAAATCAAACCAATCTAAACCAAAGAATACATATTCTATTCATACGAATCTATCCTAAAAAGGTTGTCGGCATTAAACAACCCATTGAGGTTGATGTGCCGTAAAAAAAAAATAAATCAAACCAATCTAAAACCAAAGAATACATATTCTATTCATACGAATCTATCCTAAAAAGGTTGTCGGCATTAAATAACCCATTGAGGTTGATGTGCCGTAAAACAAAATAAACCAAACCAATCTAAACCAAAGAATACATATTCTATTCATACGAATCTATCCTAAAAAGGTTGTCGGCATTAAATAACCCATTGAGGTTGATATGCCGTAAAACAAAAAATAAACCAAACCAATCTAAACCAAAGAATACATATTCTATTCATACGAATCTATCCTAAAAAGGTTGTCGGCATTAAATAACCCATTGAGGTTGATGTGCCGTAAAAACAAAATAAATCAAACCAATCTAAACCAAAAGAATACATATTCTATTCATACGAATCTATCCTAAAAAGGTTGTCGGCATTAAATAACCCATTGAGGTTGATGTGCCGTAAAACAAAATAAACCAAACCAAACTAAACCAAAGAATACATATTCTATTCATACGAATCTATCCTAAAAAGGTTGTCGGCATTAAATAACCCATTGAGGTTGATATGCCGTAAAACAAAATAAATCAAACCAATCTAAACCAAAGAATACATATTCTATTCATACGAATCTATCCTAAAAAGGTTGTCGGCATTAAATAACCCATTGAGGTTGATGTGCCGTAAAAACAAAATAAACCAAACCAATCTAAACCAAAGAATACATATTCTATTCATACGAATCTATCCTAAAAAGGTTGTCGGCATTAAATAACCCATTGAGGTTGATATGCCGTAAAACAAAATAAATCAAACCAATCTAAACCAAAGAATACATATTCTATTCATACGAATCTATCCTAAAAAGGTTGTCGGCATTAAATAACCCATTGAGGTTGATGTGCCGTAAAACAAAATAAATCAAACCAATCTAAACCAAAGAATACATATTCTATTCATACGAATCTATCCTAAAAAGGTTGTCGGCATTAAATAACCCATTGAGGTTGATATGCCGTTAAACAAAATAAACCAAACCAATCTAAACCAAAGAATACATATTCTATTCATACGAATCTATCCTAAAAAGGTTGTCGGCATTAAATAACCCATTGAGGTTGATGTGCCGTAAAACAAAATAAACCAAACCAATCTAAACCAAAGAATACATATTCTATTCATACGAATCTATCCTAAAAATGTTGTCGGCATTAAATAACCCATTGAGGTTGATATGCCGTAAAAACAAAATAAATCAAACCAATCTAAACCAAAGAATACATATTCTATTCATACGAATCTATCCTAAAAAAGGTTGTCGGCATTAAATAACCCATTGAGGTTGATGTGCCGTAAAACAAAATAAACCAAACCAATCTAAACCAAAGAATACATATTCTATTCATACGAATCTATCCTAAAAAGGTTGTCGGCATTAAATAACCCATTGAGGTTGATGTGCCGTAAAACAAAATAAATCAAACCAATCTAAACCAAAGAATACATATTCTATTCATACGAATCTATCCTAAAAAAGGTTGTCGGCATTAAATAACCCATTGAGGTTGATGTGCCGTAAAACAAAATAAATCAAACCAATCTAAACCAAAGAATACATATTCTATTCATACGAATCTATCCTAAAAAGGTTGTCGGCATTAAATAACCCATTGAGGTTGATATGCCGTAAAACAAAAATAAACCAAACCAATCTAAACCAAAGAATACATATTCTATTCATACGAATCTATCCTAAAAGGTTGTCGGCATTAAATAACCCATTGAGGTTGATGTGCCGTAAAACAAAATAAACCAAACCAATCTAAACCAAAGAATACATATTCTATTCATACGAATCTATCCTAAAAAGGTTGTCGGCATTAAATAACCCATTGAGGTTGATGTGCCGTAAAACAAAATAAATCAAACCAATCTAAACCAAAGAATACATATTCTATTCATACGAATCTATCCTAAAAGGTTGTCGGCATTAAATAACCCATTGAGGTTGATGTGCCGTAAAACAAAATAAACCAAACCAATCTAAACCAAAGAATACATATTCTATTCATACGAATCTATCCTAAAAAGGTTGTCGGCATTAAATAACCCATTGAGGTTGATGTGCCGTAAAACAAAATAAACCAAACCAATCTAAACCAAAGAATACATATTCTATTCATATGAATCTATCCTAAAAAGGTTGTCGGCATTAAATAACCCATTGAGGTTGATGTGCCGTAAAACAAAATAAATCAAACCAATCTAAACCAAAGAATACATATTCTATTCATACGAATCTATCCTAAAAAGGTTGTCGGCATTAAATAACCCATTGAGGTTGATGTGCCGTAAAACAAAATAAACCAAACCAATCTAAACCAAAGAATACATATTCTATTCATACGAATCTATCCTAAAAAGGTTGTCGGCATTAAATAACCCATTGAGGTTGATGTGCCGTAAAACAAAATAAACCAAACCAATCTAAACCAAAGAATACATATTCTATTCATACGAATCTATCCTAAAAAGGTTGTCGGCATTAAATAACCCATTGAGGTTGATGTGCCGTAAAACAAAAATAAATCAAACCAATCTAAACCAAAGAATACATATTCTATTCATACGAATCTATCCTAAAAAGGTTGTCGGCATTAAATAACCCATTGAGGTTGATGTGCCGTAAAACAAAAATAAATCAAACCAATCTAAACCAAAGAATACATATTCTATTCATACGAATCTATCCTAAAAGGTTGTCGGCATTAAATAACCCATTGAGGTTGATGTGCCGTAAAACAAAATAAACCAAACCAATCTAAACCAAAGAATACATATTCTATTCATACGAATCTATCCTAAAAAGTTGTTGTCGGCATTAAATAACCCATTGAGGTTGATGTGCCGTAAAACAAAATAAACCAAACCAATCTAAACCAAAGAATACATATTCTATTCATACGAATCTATCCTAAAAAGGTTGTCGGCATTAAATAACCCATTGAGGTTGATGTGCCAAAAAACAAAATAAATCAAACCAATCTAAACCAAAGAATACATATTCTATTCATACGAATCTATCCTAAAAAGGTTGTCGGCATTAAATAACCCATTGAGGTTGATGTGCCGTAAAACAAAATAAATCAAACCAATCTAAACCAAAGAATACATATTCTATTCATACGAATCTATCCTAAAAAGGTTGTCGGCATTAAATAACCCATTGAGGTTGATGTGCCGTAAAACAAAATAAATCAAACCAATCTAAACCAAAGAATACATATTCTATTCATACGAATCTATCCTAAAAAGGTTGTCGGCATTAAATAACCCATTGAGGTTGATGTGCCGTAAAACAAAATAAACCAAACCAATCTAAACAAAGAATACATATTCTATTCATACGAATCTATCCTAAAAAGGTTGTCGGCATTAAATAACCCATTGAGGTTGATGTGCCGTAAAACAAAATAAACCAAACCAATCTAAACCAAAGAATACATATTCTATTCATACGAATCTATCCTAAAAAGGTTGTCGGCATTAAATAACCCATTGAGGTTGATATGCCGTAAAACAAAATAAACCAAACCAATCTAAACCAAAGAATACATATTCTATTCATACGAATCTATCCTAAAAAGGTTGTCGGCATTAAATAACCCATTGAGGTTGATGTGCCGTAAAACAAAATAAATCAAACCAATCTAAACCAAAGAATACATATTCTATTCATACGAATCTATCCTAAAAAGGTTGTCGGCATTAAATAACCCATTGAGGTTGATGTGCCGTAAAACAAAATAAATCAAACCAATCTAAACCAAAGAATACATATTCTATTCATACGAATCTATCCTAAAAAGGTTGTCGGCATTAAATAACCCATTGAGGTTGATATGCCGTAAAACAAAATAAACCAAACCAATCTAAACCAAAGAATACATATTCTATTCATACGAATCTATCCTAAAAAGGTTGTCGGCATTAAATAACCCATTGAGGTTGATGTGCCGTAAAACAAAATAAATCAAACCAATCTAAACCAAAGAATACATATTCTATTCATACGAATCTATCCTAAAAGGTTGTCGGCATTAAATAACCCATTGAGGTTGATGTGCCGTAAAAAAAAATAAACCAAACCAATCTAAACCAAAGAATACATATTCTATTCATAAATCTATCCTAAAAAGGTTGTCGGCATTAAATAACCCATTGAGGTTGATGTGCCGTAAAACAAAATAAATCAAACCAATCTAAACCAAAGAATACATATTCTATTCATACGAATCTATCCTAAAAAGGTTGTCGGCATTAAATAACCCATTGAGGTTGATGTGCCGTAAAACAAAATAAATCAAACCAATCTAAACCAAAGAATACATATTCTATTCATACGAATCTATCCTAAAAAAGGTTGTCGGCATTAAATAACCCATTGAGGTTGATGTGCCGTAAAACAAAATAAATCAAACCAAACTAAACCAAAGAATACATATTCTATTCATACGAATCTATCCTAAAAAGGTTGTCGGCATTAAATAACCCATTGAGGTTGATGTGCCGTAAAACAAAATAAACCAAACCAATCTAAACCAAAGAATACATATTCTATTCATACGAATCTATCCTAAAAAGGTTGTCGGCATTAAATAACCCATTGAGGTTGATGTGCCGTAAAAACAAAAATAAACCAAACCAATCTAAACCAAAGAATACATATTCTATTCATACGAATCTATCCTAAAAAGGTTGTCGGCATTAAATAACCCATTGAGGTTGATGTGCCGTAAAACAAAATAAATCAAACCAAACCAAACCACATTGAAACATCAGTTCTCATACGTTTACTGAAGTTAAGCGATATCCAGCCTGGCCAGTACCTAGATGGCTGACCCTGTGGGAATACCAGGTACTGCAAACTTGGATGTGCGGGTGGTGTAATAGATAGCGGCTCTGAATTGGAAATCGGAGAGCTGAGTTCCAATTCCACTCGGGTTCGTTATTATTAATTTATGTGCTTCTTCACCCCCCCCCCAGTTATGGGTATTTAGTAGGACTTGTGTCAGTAAATCATTATTATCTCCCAAGAATTCTTACAATCTAAAAATATGTTCTGACTTTAAATAACCTGTAAAGGGTTGATAAGCCATAAAAATAAACAACAAAATAAGTGGGTGGAGTTATACAATAGGTCGCACAGACGCACGGAGATCTGGGTTTTTTTTCTTTTCTTTTAGAAACGATTATTAATGGCTTTACATTCATTTACTATTTTCTCTTTTTTTTCTTTCTTTTTTCTATTTTGCGATGCTAAGAGATGGCTATCTTTTCAAATAACACCGCGAGGATAGGCAACAGATGGAAGGTTTCTATTTTAAAATAAAATAGTGTTTTTTTTATATCATATTGTGTAACTGAATGATGAAAAGAAAAAAGAAATCTATGTAACGTGTTTCGTCACTTGATAGGACTTCATCAGACAATTTTATTAAAAATTACCCAACATTGTTCTGATATATAGATATATTCTGGGTGCCCAATACAAAATCCTACCTTACCAACCAGCGAGGCATCCTCACATATACATGCAAATACTCACGCAAGACAATGTGCACAAATAGGTGAATGTAATAAAAACATATTTGGTGGACATTCATATAATGATTTTCTAAGCGGAGCGTAGATGTGGCACAAGGCCAAAAGTATGGAGCACCCAGTGAGGATCCAACTCACTACTCAGTCGCAATTGATCTAGCGAGACAAGCTTGCTAACCATTGCACCACGTTGAGGTGCACATTCATATTTATACATACACATTCATAGACATGAATACATATCATAGGCATAAATATACACACACATGCATATAAACGAATAAGGTATATATTTATATACATAAATGCACAGAAAGTAAAACACCTTATGCGTACACTTTTCCGCATATTCGGCTTACGGCCATGTCACGTGAAAACGCCGGTTCTCGTTCGATCATCGTAGTTAAGCAACATCGACGTTGGTCAGTAGCTAGATGGGTAACCTTCGGAATACCAGGTGCAGTAAGCTTGTGGATAGGGTAATGGATAACGGTTCTGAATTGGAAATCTGAGAGCTGAGTTTCAATTCCAGACGAGTGCATTATATCAACTTACGCAAAAGAAACGTGAAATGTTTGAATCCCCATTTTTCTTCCCCAGTTATAGATTAAATAATAGAACTTTCATCAGCAAATCATTATTGTCTAAAAAAAAAATCTTATAATACAAAAAATATTTTCTGGCTTTAAATAACCTGAAAAAGGTTGATAAGCCGTAAAAAATAATCAATGAATTTTCCAATGTAATATATATATATATATAGGGACTCTATGTTGAGCAATATTAGCGAGTTTACTCTTACTCGTACTTGATGCGGCATTCATCCTGGGCGGATTGAGCCGGCTTCTTCCTGTTGTGAGAAGAAGATTCTTGGGATAAATTACAGAAGTAGGGTACCCAGGCCTACTCGGATAACGTTCTTGCTTGCCGCGGGATTCCCACAGACGCAGAGACAGGAACGACCAGAAGCCGCCGGTTGCCGATGCAGACGCTCCTTGGATTTTCACCAGAGCCCTTGTTAGCCGGCGTGTGTGTCAGACCTGTCCGCCTTGGGTGGCCCTACCAGGAACGAAGTTCCGGGCGGCATAGCTCTGACACTACCGTTTTTACACCCCCCCACCGACTGTGAGGTAAGGGTTGGACTTTTGCTTACGGTCAAATCACGCTGAAAACACCGGTTCTCGTTAGATCACCGAAGTTAAGCATCGTAGAGCCAGGTCAGTACTTAGATGGGGGACCGCTTGGGAACACCTGGTACTGTAAGCCCCCAAAAGTCCCCCCCAAAAAAAGGAGTTTACTCTGGTTGACCATTAATACTAAGTTCAATTCTCACTCGGTGCCTCAGATAAAATTTCGCCATTAAATAAGCGAACACTATTGACATACAAAATTCAACCGATGAAAAATAACGTATATACAATATGTGTGGTTAGGACGTTCTTTTTCTGACCCTGACACCCGGGTTCGAATCTCAGGAAGGTGATGTTATCGGTCTGGGAGCGGGGATCCTAGTATGCTTTGAAAAGTACCTGAAAAGCATAGTACGTGTTGACCTAAGTCTTCTCGGCGGAACTATTTGATGGCTGTGTTAGCACGAAGTCACAAGTCATCGTGACGGAGGGGTTGAGCGTGCTGGCCTTGTTTAGGTTGTTTAATCACTCCAGATAATGCGCTCTCTCCCAGAAACTGTAAGTATGGTCTACTCAGCATAGTTGCAGTATAAACCACAGGTAGGCTCTGTGGGTGTTTGAACAGTCGCAAATGTGCCTGGACAGGAGTCTGCAACAGGGATTGGCTAGCCGACCTAATAGACAGACAGACATACTTGGATACAAGCCATTTATTTTTATATTACAATATAGGTAGAAATACGTGTATATACACCTACGCACACGCGCATGCGCGCGCACACACACACACACACTCTGAAGTACTTCCTTCTTTTTGTTTCTTAAATACAACATAATAAGCTCTGGTAACAGAGACGTTTACATATAAACAATAGAACTCTGCTTCTGTCTTTCAGTTTTGTACGTGTGTGTGTTTTTGATCTACAGCGTAACGTAATAAAGACGGGTGTGTAGAGACTCACGCACATCCCTTTTTGTGGAATAATCGTTACAATCTCTCTCTCTTTCTCTTTTCTACCCTTCTTTTATTCTTTTTATATACACAGTTAAAAGGGACAAAAAAAAAGTGCGTAGACCTAAGTAAGCGGAAATTCCTCATAAATTAAAGCCGATACCAATAAAAGACTTTTTCAGACATTTAAACACACGCATTTCTCTCTCCAATGCGCGCATGCGCCCGCGCACACAAACACAGCACGAATGCGCGCGAAAATAAACGCGGACATCGACGAGTAAGACAATATTTTAAGAGAGGGCGCTGAAAATTTTGTCGGCCCGAGCCATTTCCCAAAATCAGTATTTTGATGCCTGGCTATTGAAATACTGATTTTGTGAAGTATGTAGGCGAACTAACTTTTCAGCATCTTACAGACGATTGATTTCACAGTCGATGAGACGCCCCCTAGCCAACTATAACACACTGAAGCTAATTTTATTTAAATGTGCACTTGAGGTGCCAGCTCGTGGCAAGACAGATAAAACCTTAATTTTACGCTCGTGAGATCGATTCTCGTTGACTGCTCCACACAGCTAACTTACCCGTCCAGTTTGTTAAATATTTTTGTCCAGCTTGTTAAATATTGCGGTGAAGTAGTGGTTAACAAGCTGATCTCGGTCCATTTTAATGACTCCTATCCTTTATGGGTGTCCAATATTTCGACCCTGTGCCAATCTGAACAAATACCGTGGAGTAATATTTAACTATAGGGTTGGAAGGAAAGTTCTTGTGGTTTTAATGCATTTAATATTCTATAAACCGCTGGAACTTCCAACCAGATTTTTCATTTCGCAGACCAGTTCCGGGCTGATAAATATTCATTTGCCTCGTTTGGTCTCTCCTCAAACAGTACATTTTTGAAAAAAAAAATATTATCAGAAATACGTTTTTGCAAAAGAAATTACCAATACTCAAAAGAAATTTAAATGGTTCATTAGGCGTTGATATGCTGCTATGTTTTTCAGCCAACATTAATCTGCAAAAATTTAAACGTAATGTCAATCGCTATCTACTGTCCTCCTGATTTCTCGTTTCTCTTCCTGGTGATTATTAATATTTCTATTCTTAATTCTTCCACACCCAATAACCCCCTTGCGTCTTAGTGGCTTTACTGCCTTGTATGAGATGATTCGGTCAGTTATGTGCCATGCGTGATACACGCTTAGGCGATCATGTATCTTTTCGATACTTGACTGACGAGGCAGATTTTTTTCCGCAGTAGCTTGCCATTTCTTTCTGCGATAGACCAGTTGCCATCCAAGACTATAAAACCCGGTATGTCCTGCTATCTACCCAAAGCTGGGAGGAGAATTCATAAGGGTATTATTAGCACGTAGGTGAATGTAATAGATTCGACTGGAATTCGAACTCGGCTCTCCGATTCCTCAATCGGAGCCTCTATCCATTACCGATTAAATAAATAACCCCCACAAAAAAAAAAAAACAAAAACAAAAAACAGTAGTGTCAAATACAAATGTTTAACTCTTCATCTAATACTTTTTAAATATTTAACTATCATTTTGGTATGCAATCATAATATAATGATCAAGCCTCAAGTGCATCAAATAAGGGGTTCAGGTGTTTAGCCTCCTATCGATAATTTCTATTTCAAATCTTACTTGAACCCAATCAATGAGGTATAAGATGCTGGTGTTTTTTCATAGGTTTGGGGGACTAAAAGTGACTTATATAGTGAGAAATACAGTATTATCGCTGAAGCGTTGTGTCGATGTTGATTTTGAGAGTTGGACTTCTGCTTCTGTTTTCCCCATCTCGTATAACCTCGGGTCAAATGATTGACCTATGTCATAGTCATGCTAACAAGCTGGGGTTCCTATCGAATGGTTACTATCCAGCAGGGCTTGCCTCGAGCGTTTTTCCACTTTGCTCTGTTGGTTTCTAACTCAAGGAAAGCACTCATTCGATGTGCGAATGGCAACCAGATGACGTGGGCTAACCAACATTGACGTGGGGCTGACTAGGTGAGAGAACACGGTCGTTTGGTCCGCTTTAAAAACTATGTGTTGACCACATGGTGAACTGCCTGAATGTTTCTGTTTGGCTGCTGGTCACTATTTTTAACAACATCAAATTTGGCGCAATCATCATGGTGTGTATTCATGCTTATAAGATTGGCGCAATACAGTCTTTTAATGGGATCCATATCTACGAATTGATCCAGAACATGCTTGTTATTAAGCACAATAAGCTTGTTTAAAATTAAAATATAAAAAAAATGTTAAAATATAGAAATACATAATTATATTTTTTATTGAAGGATGATAAACGTTTCAAGATTTCTGCTTCCTTCATCAGGCAAATATTTAAACAGATTTATTTTTTAAGTTCAAATGCGAAAATACAATTTACCTGTCTTGATAGAGTTCAAAACCGTCTACGCGGTCTTGTGGGTAATTAATTATTTTCCACCTATAATCTCTTTGCCACAGACGAAACGTCACAAGCCTCCCATTACTTTATCGCTATTTCCATGGCAACTGTTCTGATGGTCTTGGTTCTATCAACTAGAACCCGCCATACCACGTCCACAAAGATGAATCCGCCTCATTCCTTTTGTATTTCATTAGTAAAAAAAATTAAGCTCCACAAGAACCGCTGCTTTGTGGAACAGACTCCCAGCAGAATGTTTTCCCGATCACTTCAGGTCTTGTCAGAGTTGCTATCTTTCCTATATAACCTCATGAACTGCATGCCTCCCTTTTACGTTTATACTATATCAGTATAGTGAAGTAATAGATAGCGGCTCGGATTGAGGAATCAGAGAGCCGAGTTCGAATTCTAGTCGAATCCATTACCTTCACTTACGTGAAAGGTATGAATCCTCTTCTTCTCCTAGCAGCTATGGGTAAATAAAAGGGACAGACCGGGTTCTAAAGCATTGGAGGGCAACTGGTATACTTCAGAAAGAAATGGCAACCTGCTGCAGAAAAATATCTGCCTCTTCAGTCATGTATCGAAAGATACGTGTTCGCTTAAGCGTGTATCACGCATAGCACGTAACTGACTGATTATATCACAAAGCAACACTCTACCCTTGTGTGGCGCTTGGGCCTCGTATTGGGTGGATGAATATTAATATCTAAACAATATACCTATTTTTATTGAATGTTGATTAAATGTTTCAGAATCTTTGTAACCTTCATCGGTTAAATATTTAGATGGATTTTTTATTTTTTTTTTTTTTAGTTCAGATGCAAAATAAAAGAAAAAATGTTGTCATTACTATCATCCTGAATTACAAACACAACGACACAAATTTCACTAACGGATTTAGAAAAGGCAAAATCACTACAATATTCGACTAAAAAAAGCAATGCA